CCCTGTTTGTGGCCTAGGAAAGTAGTCAAGGATGACCCAAAGTCTTAGGACCTTGAACCCACATGGGAGACTCAGAAGCTTCTGGCTCCTGGCTTTTGATTGGCTATTGTGGTCACTTGGGGAGTGAATCAGTGGATGGAAAAATCTTTCTCTCTGTCTCTCCTCCTCTCTGTATATTTGACTTTCCAATAAAAATAGATCGATCTTTTTTTTTTTTAAGTGGTTCATTGAAATGCTTAGAAAACATTCTACACAGTGAAAGGTCAATCGCCGCTAAGGCATGGCAGAGCTAAGCCTAGATGTGCCACGTGTTTGCTGTCCCTGACCTAAAGCAACCACTGCTTTTGCAGTGACTTGGTTTTGTAGTCTGTTGCTAGTTAGTGGTATAGGTAGAACTAGAACCCAGCTCTCCCAACTTCCTTTTTGCTGCTGGATTCTGACTTGGGAAGAAAATCTCCTGGTCTGTCTCACTAAGTGCTGTAAAGTTGTGGTTCTCTCGCTGTGGTGGAGGGCACACTCTCTCACGGATGTCCAGGGTAATTGGCCTATGAGCCAGCTCAGTGCTTGAGCATCCTTCTTCTACACTATGCAAAGGAGTCTGTCTGACTTCTGCCAGCCCTTAACTGCTGCATGTGATCCCTCATTTACAGTTGCAAAACTGGAAAAGTTGACAGAACTAGAGACAGACCCTTCTAAGTGGTACAAGCCGCCTGTCATTGCCTTTATCTGATTGAGTGATTTTCTTAACTGGAGTGAGTCCTTGGTCCTGAGGGCTGGGAATGAGGACGAAGACTCACAGGCGGGAAGCTGCTGTCTGCATTTCTGCAGGAATGGGAATCTTACTTCTTCACAGAAGAATGGAGGAAGGAAAAAAAAAATAAATCTAACTTTCTAGGTGTGTTTCCTTTAACTATTTTGCAAAGTTTATGTCATATGTGTTCCTAGCCCTGACATTTTCCCTCCCTCTAGTGCTAAAAGAACACCCAGGCTGAGGCTTTCAGAAAACTTGGGAGTTCCCTGCACCTGCACATTCACTGGCTCGGGCTATTGGGCTTTCCGCACTTTGCGCAGCCCTGGACTGCTGAGGAACTCCCACTGGGGAGTAAATGATAGATAAAGGCACACAGGTGCAAACCTACACAGCCAGGAAACCTGGGGGGGACGACAAGTTCCCTGAGTAGGGGAACACCAGGAGAGGAAAGGCCACATCTTGTCATGTAGCTGACCAAGCACGACCAAGGAGAGAAACATCATAGGCACATCAATAATGAGAAGTCCCCTTTCTGTGGAGAGACTGTGCCATGCTGCAAATAAGAGCACATTAATAATCACTTCTCGGCTTTTTGGCTAAGATCAAGTGATAAGCATGTTAACTCTTTCTAGGAAACTCTCTTTGACAAATTAATCTTTTAAAAAAAGATTTATTTATTTTTATTGGAAATGAAGTTCTACAGAGAAATAGAGAGACAGAGAAAGAGATCTTCCATCTGCTGGTTCACTCCCCAAGTGTTCACAATGGCCAAAGCTGAGCTGATCCGAAGCCAGGAGCCAGGAACTTCTTCCAGGTCTCTCACGTGGATGCAGGGTCTCAAGGCTTTGGGTCATCTTCCTCTGCTTTCCCAGGTCACAACCTGGATGGGAAGTGGAACAGCTGGGACATGAATCAGCACCCATATGGAATCATAGTGCTTGCAATGGGAGGATTAGCCACTCGAGTCATTGTGCTGGGCCTGACAGATTAACCTTAAAACTGAGGTGCTAGCATACTGAGAGGGGTATCTACATGAAGGCAGCAGGGGACCATGCAAAGTCAGTGATGATTCTTCTAAGCATAGATTTAAAAAACATTGTTTAAAAAAATGTTTGAAACCAAACAAGCCTCAGGAAACCTGAATTCTTACAGGATGGATGCTGTGGCTTGAACAAGTTCTCCACATTCACATATTAGTAATTTAATGCTGGATTGCAGCAGGATTGACAGCTGGGATGATTAGGTCATGGACTCATGAATGCTTTCATGTCTATCCTTGCAGGAGGCCCTGTCATTTTTTCTGGCACTTTCTTGCCCTTCTGCCATGGTATGCTACTACAGGAAGACCTCTTGACCTTGGACGTTGTGCCTCCAGGACCCCGAGCAATAAACAAATTTCAGTTCTGGGGATAAATTACCTACTCTCAGGTATTTTGTTATAGAATCACAAAATTGAGTAAGACATGAATAAACCCATAGCATTAATCTAGCTCCTTCTGACCCCTGGCAACTCTAAGAACTAACATGCCTTCCTTTGGCATATCCTCCTTTTAGCTCCAGCAGTCTGCAGTACCTATTCCTTCCTCATGGCTTAATCATCTGTATGTGAAGAGAAGTCTTCTATTAAGAGTAAATGATCATTGGGCCTGGTGCAGTAGCCTAGTGGCTAAAGTTCTTGCCTTGCATACACTGGATCTAATTCCGGCACCTGCTCCCCAACCAGCTCCCTGATTGTGGCCTGGGAAAGCAATCAAGGATGGCCCAACACCTTGGAACCCTGCACCTGCCTGGGAGACCCAGAGGAGGCTCCTGGCTCCTGGTTTCAGATTGGCTCAGCACCAGCTGTTGCAGTCACTTGGGGAGTTAATAAATGAACAAAAGATCATCCTCTCTGTCTCTCCTCTTCTCTGTATATCTGACCTTCCAATTAAAAAAAAAAAAATCTTTTTTTTTCAAAGTGTTATTTAGTATAAATCTGATTTTATTTAAATCACTTAATCTCTTGGAAGGAATTTAATATTTTCAAGTGAAGATAATAATGCTCATTAAGGTCGTACAGATTAAACATAACAAGTTATGTGAATGATTTGCAAAATGGTTCACAAACAGAAGGAATATATTAATTTATCAGAACATATTAGTGGCAGGCACTGTGCTATGTATTGAAAATCTAAAGATACTATTACATACACACACACCTATGCAACAATATTGGAGTGCTATTTTATATCACTGGTTTTGCAAAAACGAAAGAGTATGACAGAATGATGTTTTGCTATAGATAGGACACAGAAAAATCAAAACTCACCTACCACAGCTTCTGCTCAAAGTATGGAACTGTACAACCAAAACTTCAGTTACCATATTTGCATAGTAAATGACCCAAAAATGTGATAACATGGAACAATCTCATGTTCCTAGTGGATCACAAAACTGGGAAATAGCTTCTCTCTGTTCCAGTGTCTGCAACTACAGCTGGAAGACTTCAATTCATGGAGCTGGAGGCATCTGAGGGTTCACTCACCCACAGGTCCAGTAATGGATTCTGGCTGAGTCAGACTGGTTAACTGAGTATGTATTTAGAGTCTCCACCGATGGCATAGGCTTCCTTTCTGCCTGATGAGGGTCAAATGTGATTGTCCCAAGAGGAAGAGGGTCAGTTAAGCCACAGTTGTATTCCTGGTCTTGCAATTCAGGTGGTGCCAAATCAGTGATTTTTATTCATTAGACGCGAGTTCCTAAGACTAACCTGTTCTCTGGGAAGTGCACAGCTGTCCCAACTTTTGTAAAGTAGTGCCAAGTCACACTACAAAAGCAATTACAGGATGAGATATCTTGGCATGGACAGTTTTGGTAAATGCAACCTACAAAACCCAGTGTGAAGAGAATTTGATAGTATTTAGTAGAACTGGACATGTGTTATGATTTTGCAATTTCATCTCTAGACAAAATTTAGTGAAAAAAATTCCACATATACCTAGAGAGAAATCCATAGGCATTCATTGCAATGTTGTTTTAGGTGACAATTTGGAAACATTCAAATATTTATCCAAAGTAGGTTGACAAACAAATATTGGCTTACTAATTCCAAAAGAAAAATAACAACAAAAAATAGAATGAGAAACATGCCTTTTAATTTTTTAATGCCTTTTCATTTTGATGCATCTTAAAAACACTATGGGGAGGAAAAAACAAATTTCAGACAAGCCTTTTACAACAAAATGAATTTATCACTTCCATTTTCCATGATGTTTTTGAAGCTCTTCTATATAAAGAACTGCAATGTTTTTGATTTTAAAATATTAAACAAGTAAAAGCATAATGTGAATTTATTTGTTTTGAATCCTAGTTAATGTGTGTATTTATTGGCATTAAGTTTTGAAAAGTAACTAACCACAACAAACGGTAAATGAGCTCACAAGAGAGGACAAGGTGATGACTTAAAGGCTCAAATTCCTACCAAACACCGGAGGGACCGGGATTAAGTTCTACGCAGGTTGGATCTGTGTGTGAAAGCTTGTGAAAAAGCAAATTGTGATAAAGCAAATTGAAAATATGTCATTGTAATAGCTAAAAGAACAATAAGAAAGGAGCAAGAAGTGAAGGAGGGAAGATTCAGTGAGAAGTATAAATATGCTCTCTTTTTGCATCAGTATGTTCTTTAAACTAAATATATAAAATACATGAAATTTTTCCTCTTCATATAAATTAAAAAATACTAGCGAAAGTACCATTAGCTCACAATGTGATGCGTTCCACCTCCCAAAGAAACACAGATGATGCTTTCAAAGAAAACATGGAAAGCCATGAGGAGAGCTAGAAGAAAAGGAGGAACGCCTTGCTCTTCTGTCCCAAAGGCACAGGCTGGGAGAAGTGTCGGTAGCCCCAGGGAGGCCTTCAAGGTAGCTTGGAATCTAAGACAGCGCTACTCCTTTAGTGCAAGGAGGCAGTGACTTGATAGGACTCTCCAGTGCATGCTCATCTGAGTGCAGCAGGGGTGGTTTCACTGCTGTCAGCTCGCCACCCTAAAGCTTGGCAAGATCGTAAGTTCAAAAGTCGGGAGGTTGGGACCCTTCTGCCCTATGGCATTCCTCAATACACACAGATCCAAAGCAGAACCAAATCCTCTTTCATTACGTCCCAGTGCTGGTCCAGTATTGTAAGCTCCCTAGTTCCCAATGGCATCCTTTCTTCTTAAGTGATAACAAGGGAAAACCAACAAAAGAAAAAGAAAAAAAAAAAGAACAGAAAAAGTTCTAGATCAGCTTTATTAAACGAAAGAGGAAGTGATGAAAACCTCAGAAAAACTTCTCTAAATGTACAGGAACCAAGGGGTAGGGAGGGTCGCTCTTCTGAGGGGGATCACAGGCGACAACGAAGAATCTGAACTGGTCCATGTGACTGTAGGAGCAGTCAGGATACCGCCCTGTGGTTAACTTGCAGTGGGTCATGTTGACGGGCGATGAGCTGTTGTGACAGTTGTGCCGACCACTGGTGCAGATGATCTTGGGAGTGTTGCAGGCATTAATCACGTCCCGGAGAGAGTCATGCAGAAAAGTGTTAAGCTCCTTACAGTGCTGGGTGTAATTATTGACCCCCCTCATGGCCCTGTTGCATTGGAGAGGACTTGGCTGAATGTGCTGAATTTCAAACCAGCGAGCCTTGGTGAGGTTCCGGGGCTCAGTATGAAGAGAACCCACGGCTCCTGACAGTTGCAGCAGCAGCAGGAGGAGGGACAAACATCCTCCAAGGTCTGACCCCATCTCTGTGTAGGAAGAGGAAAGAGAATGACAACAGTAGACACAATAAGAGTCAAATTTTAAATTCTAGTTATTTCCTAGCTATTTAAGAAAATAAAATCACTGAGCCTGGCACAATGGCTCAGTGGCTACATCCTTGCCTTGCACATGTTGGGATTCCATATGGGCACCGGTTCCAATCCTGGTAGCCCCGCTTCCCATCCAGCTCCCTGCTTGTGGCCTGGGAAAGCAATCGAGGATGGCCCAAAGCCTTAGGATCCTGAACCCACATGAGAGATCCAGAAAAATCTCCTGGAATCTGCCGTTCCAATAAAAATGAAACAAATCTTTGGAAAGAAAAGAAAAGAAAATAAGAAAATCATGTTCCTTTCACACAGAATCTCTACAAAGAGCCTATAGCCCAATAAGTGAGGATTTGAGGTGAGAAGACCTTTTGCTGCATTGGAAAATTCCATTCTTCCCTTGGACCTGCAGTGATGCGCTTGATGTCCACGGCTTCAGAAGCCTGGCTTCCTCCCTGCTTCCCTCCAGTCCTGCGTAGGCTCTTGTGGGTTCCTCCCGGTCCTTGTCTGTGCCCTGCTCACCGCAGCCCCCCAGGCCAGGAGTTTCTGCTCTTACCAGCTCTCTGCGTTCAGATCTCCTGAAGAACGAGAACGGTGACGTCCAGGTTCACAGGTTCTACTTCTCTTCTTCCAGCCTGCCAGATCTGCTGGGGCTGGGCAGGGAGAGAAATGCTCTGAGCTCCAGGAAAGAGAAACCTTACGCTTCACGGGCCAGCTTCTTGTGCAGAGTGTGAGCCTGCGACTCTCAGACTTTGAAACTTGTTTCTTAAAATAGTTCGCCCACTTTGTGCGAACAGGAAGAGTTGAAGAGCTGAAGCAGACTTTACAGAAACAAGATTGCTCGAAACTAAACATTTTGAGGAAGTAATCATGTCCTGACCTGGGTTCAGTCCTTCCTTCCTAAACTTCAGTTTGAACGTCTGTGATTTGTTTTTCTTTTTTTTTTTTTAAGATTTATTTATTTTTATTGGAAGGTCAGATATACAGAGAGGAGGAGAGACAGAGAGAAAGATCTTCCATCTGATGGTTCACTTCCCCAAGTGAGCACAACGGCTGGTACTGCGCCAATCTGAAGCCAGGAGCCAGGAGCTCCTCCAGGTCTCCCACATGGGTGCAGGGTCCCAAGGTTTTAGGCCATCCTCAACTGCTTTCCCAGGCCACAGGCAGGGAGCTGGATGGGAATCGGGGCTGCTGGGATTAGAACCAGTGACCATATGGGATCCTGGTGCATGCAAGGCGAGGACTTTAACTACTAACAGTATAGAGCCGGGCCCTGTGATTTGTTTTTCAAAAGGTAATGTTCTCTATAATTCTGACATCATAGCTGCCACATAGTAGGTAATGTTGTGACTGTTCATCAAATTTTATGCATGTGCTTATTGGGCTGGTTACTGTGTTAGTCAGAAGTTCATAATCTCATGAAGGAGATAACCACATAAGTAGGTAAAATGTACATTAATAAATGTGAAATAGCCAAGTGTGGTGCAGAACTCTGCATAGACTGTGGGGAGATAGTATAGGGTGAAGACTATTGGAAAACCTAACTCATACACTGAATTTTAAGGAATAATTAGAAGCTAGATGAAGAAGCAACAAGGGCCTCAGAAGAGAGGTTTGTGTGTGAAAAGACCATAATCACAAAGGGGAGGGACATGCTTGTGGCAGCCACCTCTTTATCGCTTCTTGTCTTTCCATCATTGCTGTAGCATCATTATTCCAGATCTCATTAGCTCCTGGAGAGTCATACAAAAGCTTCCTTCATGGACTCTGCTTCTGGCCTGTTTCCCTTCCAACCCATTTTACATTTTACAGACAAAACAGGCTTTCTCGATTGTAGGTATAAGACAAAGCACCCTTATCCAGAGCTACCAGATAAAAGGATTTCTGTTTTATTGTCCCAAGTGAACTAACACAGAGGAGCAGCACACACAGACTGGCAATCAAGAGTGAGTTTGTGACCCCTGCGATCTCTCAATCCAAGCTACAAAACAGTGGGGCTTATAAAGGCCACATGCACAGCGCGGGCAGGATCCAGGAGGACTGTGCTGATGCACTGAGCTAATCCAGAACTTCCTTAGAGAGAAACGCTATTCATCACTAACTGCAAGCTTTTGTGGCTGTACCAGGTGAAACTCATTTTTCTCCTAGTCATGCTGGAACATTCTTTCCAAGCAGGATGTGGTTTTCTCTGCTGGATTACAGTGTCATGGGTTAGGAGGTACCTCATCTAAGATGGAGCCCAGATCAACACGGAGTCCCTCATGGCAAACCTGTTATTTCAGTTTCTGGAAAGGTTGTACAATAAGATGAATGTGAACAAATTGTTTTTTTTAACGTATCATTAGATACGAATCATTAGAATTGCAAATATCATTCATATTTTGAAAAGTTAAATATTTAACTATAAAGCTAATTATTAATAGATTTGTATGAGGAAAAATATGACTCTGATAAAAGAAATCCAATAAGTAAATAAATGCATAGATATTCCACGTTCACAAATAGGAAAATTCAGTATTGTCAACTCCTTCCAACTTAAACAATAGATTTTGTATAATCCATAGAAGATTCACTGAGATACTGTCTGGTTCTTTGTATCTTTCAAGAAAATGTACTAAGAGAAAATGTACTAAGAGTATCAGACCATGACAGAGGTAGCAATTTTGGAAGGCAATTGAGTTGGATTGATTGATCCCCCAAATTTTAATACAAGGATCTTTGGGGCACATCAAATCTTCAAACTAATATTCAAACCATTGCACTCACTGAAACAAGTACGGTAGGAGCATCTGTCAGTCAAAAGGATTATTTTTTATCTTGGGCTCTTACAACTTTCACACAGTTGATGGCCTTCTGTGTTTTTTTTTTTTTATATTAAAGACTCATTGTCTTCTTTATTTTTATTTTTGGTGATGTTTACATAGTTGACCAGAAGGGAAAGATCGAGGGTTATGGAAAAATGGGTGTGATCATTGTTTCCAAATTTTCCCTTTCTTCTTCTTGTACCTGGAGGAAGGGGGAGCAAAAGGGGAGAAGCCATATCCAGCCACCCAACCTATCAGCACCCTTTGATGGGGAATGGCCACTCAGTATCAACCCAGTGTCCCTGATGTAGTGCAAGCTCCGAGGGTTCTGCCCAAGTGGTTTCAGTAGTTTTGAAATGCTGTTAATCTCGCCTATCCCAGGGTGAGGAACCCCTCCCAGTGTCCATTGGTTGACATAGTTGAACTTAGAGTCTCCATTTGCCTGGATTTCTTTGCTGTTGTCGTTTGGCTGGGGTAGTTGTCCAATTTGTTCTGCCCTCCTTCCTCTACTACAGTACCAGTTGTCCTCTGTAAGTCCCAATGGGCTGCCATAGCCCTAGGTCAGACATCCTCTGCTCTGTCTTTTCCACTGAAAAGACCCAGTTCTGATACATAAACTCCATGGTGAAACCACCAATCTTGGACATGAGTCTCCAGGCTCCCTTATGCTGCCACCTGTGCCATTACTAGACCCCTGCAAGTCCACACACTAAGTCTCCACAAGCATGCCCCTGGTTGGCCAGTGAACTTTCCCCATGCCATTGGTGCCCTGGGCCACCCATCCAAGACCCTGTGAGACCCCTCACCCCCAGGGCTCATGGACCCTGCACCCACCATGCAAGTGGATCGAAGGACCAAAACAAGGTGATCCTGGCGCCACTGAAACTCCCGCACTAGGGGCTCATGAACTTGGTATCCACCATGCAGGCGAGACCTATTGGCTGGACCTTAGAACCCAAACCCCACCAGACTCTCCGCCCTTGGGGCTCACAGACACTGCACCCATTGTACCCAGACTGACCTGTCTAGCCTTACCATGGCATCTCTAATGTGAATTGGTTGGTGTTGAGGTGTGGCCTGGCCCATCCTGCAACCTGTCCTGGCTCTCAGATCTGCCAGTAGATGTTATGACTGGTCCAGCATAGCCTGCCCTCCGAGCTGACCCACATGTGTGCCAGTGGGTACTGTAACCTGGCCTGGTCTGGGCTGCTCCCAGCTTTGATTCTTGTGCTTGCCTGCAGGGACTGCATCCTCACAAAGGATTTCCCCAAACTTCTCTTTAAGGTCTCCTCTCAGTGGCAGATCTGAAGCAAGCCAGTGGGTCCTCAACTGAAGTTGGCTTAGTCCACCTCTTGTCTTGGCAGCAACAGTGGCCTTGCCCAACTGGCCCACACCTATTCTGGTTCTTACTATTGGGTGTTACAGCCCAGCAACACCTGGCCCATACTAAGACACAGCTCTCACATGGTTCAGCAGGGGCAGAGACCTAGCCCAGCCTGTCATACACCCTCCCTGACTCTCACAAGTACCAATGGGTTCTGGAGTCTAGCCTAATCTGGTACAGCCCAGACACAGTCCACCCCAATAGCTAGAGAGACTGCAGCCATTTCCTGCCCAGCCCACTGCCTCCATTCCACCTCTTGGTCTTACTAGCAGGAAACACAACCCAGTCGGGGTATCCCCTTAGCTCCCAACCAGACCTATTCCCTGCCACAGATCTTGCACATTGTGGTTACACAGGGGTGAGACTCTCTCCGGTGGGTACTGTGATATAGCCCTGCTAGGCAGGTCCCCAGGTTTAGCTTTGGTGAGTACCAGTGGGTGGTGTTTATTGGTGGTCAGTGGTAACCAGTCCAGCTCAGGTCTCCCACACGGGCTGGTGCATCGGTCTGACCTTTTAAGGTCCTCTGGATCTTCCCTCCAAACCACTCACTCTCAGCCCCCTCGTTTACCCGTAAGTACAGTGGCCTTATTGATGGCATTCCCTCTGTAGTTGTTCCTCACCTGGGTGTGAGCCCTTGGGTCCCTGTACGAATGCATCCTCAAATCCCCAAAACAAACTTCTGGGCAGGCTGGGTGCCAATGGTGCTGGCCCAAGCTCCTGCTGGGCTCCCTCTCCCCTGAGGGCTGAGCCGCCTGGCCAGCCTGGCTATAACAGTAATAGCTGAGCCAGTCCAAAGCCAGGAGCTTCTTCCATGTCTGCCACATTGTTACAGGAGCCCAAGCATTTGGGACATCTTCCACTGTCTTCTGCAAGCCGCCAGCAGGAAGCTGGATCAGAAGTGAAGTTGCTGGGCTCTGGCTCCCAGATCAGCTCAGTTCCAGCCAGTACGGCCACTTGGGGGAATTGAACCAGCAGATGGAAGGTTTCTCTGTCTCTGTGTATATCTGTATACTCTGTGTTTTTCTGCCTTTCCAATAAAAATAAATAAATAAATAAAAGATGGAATTTCCAGAATACACATCAGCTCCCATATAGATTTCTGGCCCTACAGGTAAAGCATGACGTGCTTTACCACAATGTTGATCCCAACTAATAGGATCTTGACATGTTTATCGTAGTAAAAACTAAACATCATGCATTGCATCATGTGAATATGATTCTTCTCCCTAAATTCACACAGTAGTTTAGTACCCAAAGTCTTCTGTTAAAGTTACTAAGGGAATGGACTCTTAGATTATCTCGTTTTGGAAATGAGTAAATTGCATTAAGTCATTAGGCTGGATCCTCATTACTCAATGCTCATGGCTTTATGTAAAGAGCTAGAGACCAGACTTCGAAAAGCATGCTTGGAATCTCGTGCTGTGTGATGTCACACGCCACTGGGGGTTTCTGATGGCAAGAAAGCCATCTGCCATGAAGTAATGGAGGAGGCCCTGATGAGAGACTGTGCCTTGCGGTTTCGACTTCAGATTGTAAAACTATAAATTAAATGAGCCTCATTTCTTTACAAGTTAGCACATCTAAAACACTTCTTTACAGCAACAAAAAATTAGGCCTCTGTGTATGTTTATATTGCTTTGCCTTGCCAGTCGATACATGGATAAATAAATCTGTTTGAAAAACCTGGAGAAGTCACAGATAGACTTGTCAAACATGAGAAAATATACTTGAAAGAGAACACCAAAACAGCAACTGCACACCAAAATGACTTGTAGAGATTAAAAGCGAGACAGGTCTAGACATCAAAACAATGGAAAAGTGGCTGCCCTGCACAGGCCCAGAGGTCTCCAAGTGCAGACTGATTTTAAGGAATGAGCCCAAGGCACTCTCCCCAGGCCTGCTTGGCCGGCTCATCTGCAGACTGTGCTTCATACACCACAGTCCAGATCTCAGTTGGCCCAGCAGGAGATCACAAGAGCCCAGGTGCAGCTTGTGCCTGACTCACCAGCGTGGTTTTGAAGTGTGTGACTTGTGTTTTACTTTAAGTCCACAGCTAAGAAGAGTTTTGCCTTTCATTTTGGATGAGGCTTTGGTCTTGAGCTGATGCAGAAACATGTTACAACAGTAGGACTATGATAGTGCAGTGAATATAATTGGTAAGAGAGCATGATGTGAATTTTCTTGGACAGGGATAGAGGCAATGGTTGTCAAAACTCATGTTGAGTTCTAATTCTCCAAGGTAATGATGTTGGGGGGAAGTCCTTTAAGAAAAGTGATTGCATAGGCCGGGCACAATGGTTCAATGGCTAAATTTTCATCTTGCAAGCACTGGGTACCAGTTCATGTCCTGGTTTCCCATCCTACTCCCTGCTTAATGCTTGGAAAAGCAGTAGAGGATGATCAAAAGCCTTGGGACCCCTGCACCTGCATGGGAGACCCAGAAGAAGCTCCTGGCTCCTGGTTTCAGATCAGCTCAGTTTCGGCCATTGTGGCCATTTGGGGAGTGAACCAGTGGATGGAATATCTTTCTCTCTGTCTTTCCTTCTCTCCATAAATCTGATCTGCCATTCCAATAAAGATAAATAAGTCTTTAAAAAAGAAAAATGATTGTACTAAGGTCCTCATGTGAAGGGATTAATGATGGTGTCCTGGAGTAAGTTGGCTTTCAAAGGATTCAATAAATGCCTGTTAATATTATTAATATGAGTTTTTATAAAAACCAGAGCTTGGCCCTAACCACTCCCTTGCTTCCCTGCTCCTCTCCTTTCTGATGTTCTTGACATCTGGTGATACTCATCATGAGTCTCATAGTGTGATGGTGTAGAACTTCCTCTTCACCAGTGTGATGAGTCAAATGAATGTCTTTCCTCTGAATCTTATCCTGAATCAATTATTTTGTTGTAACAATACAGATTGAGGAAGTCTGTCAACACAATCAATTCTCAGATCATAACTTGTCTCCAGCTTGGCACGTATGCATTTGTATCTCATCACGCACACAGACATATCACATATGGTGGGCACACACTCATCAAGTGCACCTTAACCAATATCCACGGCACCAATAATACCCAAGCATAAATCACATATGTGCACACTGCCCATACCAACCACAAAACACATATTTTGCAAGCATCATTTATATAGATGTGATACACTTTGGGAAAAATATGATTTATTTATCTTGGATAAGGATAAGGAGAGGTAATATCAGAAAAGGCTTGAGGTTAGGCAAGAAAAAACACTATATGGGGTGAATCATGGGGGAAAATACGGTAGTTGATTAGGTCAATAAGGACAGAAGATTGGTCTAGGCAGAGAAATAACATAGACAAAGTTGTAGTACTAAGATATCGTGTGATACCACCTAACCCTAAAATGCTGGAAGTGCTAGCACGTGAGTGAGAAGTGTAGAACAGGAGGGATTATGAATACACACAGGGGCTAGAACTTGAACAATCTACCATAACATGGGGATATCGATTCCTTTTTTAATGGGTGATAGGTTCTGTGAAGTTTACTATGCGATCCACATGCCCATCCATGTTACATTGGAATTTTATGTGGTTGTAACCCCTATTCTCTCTGTAGAAATTTTCGGATTTCTCCTTTTTACACTTCAGTACTTTGAGAGTATGCTGCGTCCATGTGTTTGTATTTCTGTAGCGATCATTCCAAATGCCCTTAACACACAAATGCTCTATTTGGTACCATGAGGCATAAATGAATATGTGGGGTTTCTCCTCTTCCAGAGTTTCCATTTGCTCCATGAGGTCATCGCATTTGTATGAGATGAAATCTCTGCGTGGACTGAGGTAATGCCATTCCTTGAATTTCTTCCATGAAGTAGCTTTGCTGTGTGTAAGCAGCCTGCATTGAAGGCACAGCAGCAACAAGCAAATGATCCAGAATTTTGGATAGGATGCCTTGGTAGGAATAGGATACATCTGCATGTCCACGGGGAAGAAGAGAAGAAAGCATTACCGACACACTGCCCTGGGAGTGGAGCTCTGCCTTCTGATTTACTTCTTTGCCAGTATAGACAAGTGGGCCCAGTGTCACCATTTGGTTCTAAGTCTGGAAGGTAATCACTCTCTTTAGGCAACACTCTTTAAGCACAGAGAGGCTTTACTCGCTACGGTTAGAAAGGCTGTCGTCCAAAGAACAAATAACAAATGCTGGCAAGGATGTGGAGGAATAGGTACACTAACAAATTGTTGGTAGGAATATAAATTTGTACAAGCATTGTGGAAGACAATATGGAGATTCCTTGGATATCTGAAAATAGATCTACTATGATCCAACCATCTCGTTCCTGGGAAATTACCCAAAGAAACTGACATCAGCATATCAAAGAGCTATCTGTACTCCCATTTTATAGCAGCTCAACTTACAACAGCTAAAATATGGAATTAATCCAGATTTTCATCAACAGATGACTGGATAAAGAAACTATAGTGAGGTCATGGGCACTGGCTACCACTATTGCACCTGCCACCAGTGCTGGCTGGAGATGTGCAGGTGCAGGCTTGTGGGGATCTGGGGGTGCAGTCCTGCAGGAAGCCTGGAGGAAAGCACAAGTGGGCGTGAGCAGGGATCTGGAGGCTCATGCCAAGGCAACCGGAGGGAGCCTGGGGATTTCTCCACGTGCTTGGTCCTGGATGGGGTTGGAGGAGGGGAAAAGAGAGCCCTTAGATTAACATGCTGGTATGGTGTGCTGGTGAATTGTGTTTAAGTATCTTTGAATGGGTTTGGAACTTGAGTGGGAGGAGGGGTAAGTTCCCAGGCCAGCACACATGCCAGGAGCTTGGGGCCATAACGAGTGGGTAGAACTCCAGGCCAGCACCCTAAACCCCTGGAATACTGGGCTTTAGAACACTGGGCTGGGGAACCCATACACTCCTGGGTGCAAGGACTATGGACTGTCCAGGGAAGGTGGGGAAGGGGATGTATGGGAGGGAGTATGCTGTAGGTGAGGAATGACTTCTGAGGCACTCCCATCGACAAGGCCACTGTACATGCAGGTAAGCAAGGGGGCTGAAACAGCAGTTTGGAAGCGGGAGGCTAGAGGACCTTTAAGGATCAGACCAATGCACCAGCCCATGTGGGCGACCTGAGCTGGGCTATTTGGCACTGACCACTGCTGACTGCCAATCACTGGTGTATACTGAAGCTAGGCCTGGGGGCCTAACTGGCAGTGTTGGATCACAGTACCCACCAGTGAATGTTGGAATAGAGGATGGGTGATGTTAGGCTGGACCACGAAACTAACCAGCACGTGAGAGAACCAGTTCTAAAGGCAGATTTGGGGGAAATTGTGAGCTCACCCCTGTAGGACTGCCATACCAGCTGGTTTGCTCAAGGGCTGGGGGTAGTGACGAGCTAAGCTAGGCATGACCATAGAACCTTCCAACACTCGTGGGTACTAGGGTTGTGAACAGGCTGCGCTAACCCAAGCTGCAGCACCCTCAGACACACCCAAGAATTGGATGTGGGGTTGGCCAGGACACAGCTCCTACCAGCCAGTACAGAGGCCAGGACAGAGGTGGGACAGACTATGCCAGATAAGGAGCTAGAACATGTGAGATCTGGGTCTGAGAATGGGCCTGGTGGGGGAACTTGAGAAACTCCCCTGGTGGGCCATAACTCCTACTGGTGAGCATGTAATTCAGGCCTGAGAGTTGGTTAGGCTGGGCAAGGTAGATGAGTGTGTGGGTATGGTTCTGGAGGTAGACTGGGCAGGGCTAATCCATACTTTAGCATACTGGCAAGTACAGGCACTAGGTTGGAGTGCAGGTCATGCCAGGTTAGGCTATCATACCTACAGGTTTGCATGATCTAGGGATGGGAGCAGACTGAGTAGGGCTAGGCTGCAGCACCTGATGGCAAAGGCTGAGACAGGGAAGGAGCCATGCAAAGTTGGGTCAGAGCAACCACTAGCATGCGCAAGATCTGTGGCAGGGAACTGGCCTGGTTGGGAGCTAAGGGGATGCCCCAACTGGGTTGTGTTTCCCACTGGTGAACACAAGAGCCAGAATAGGAGCAGAGATCTGGTCTGGACATGGCTGCAGTATCCCTCGGCACAGGTGTGTCCTGGGTCTGAGGTGTGCAGAGTGGGCTAGACTCCAGCGCCCACTGGCGCTCATAAGAACCAGGGTGGGTGTAGGTCTGGTTATGGACCAGGTGTGGCTGAGCTATAACATCCAATAATAAGAACCAGAATGGCTGTTGGCAGGTTGGACAAGGCCACTGTTCCTACTAGGACAGGAGGTGAACTAAGCCAATAAGGGCCAAGGACCCACTAGTGTGCATGAGATCTGCCACTGGGAGGAGACCTGAGAGAGGAGCTTGGGAAAATCCTCTGTCAGGATGCAGTCCCTGCAGGTGAGTACAAGAATCAAGGCAAGGAGTAGCTCAGACCAGGCCAGGTTACAGAAACTACAGGCAAATCAGTTCTGGGGACAGGCCAGGCTGGGCCAGTTCATAACACCCAGTGGCAGATCTGAGACCCAGGACAAGATGCAGGACAGGCCAGGTCGTGCTGCAACATCAGCAAGTTCCCATTAGGGCTGTGACTGGGTGCTGGATGTGCTGGGCTATGCTGTAGCGCCCTGCAGCACACATTAGACCTGGCAGGGGAGGTGTATGAATCCAGTAGGGGGCAGCATTGGCTCCCCTGTTGGGTCACTGCTTCCACTGGGGAGCATGAAAGCTGGGAGTAGGGGCAGACCATTCCAGTCAGGGGTACAACACCTGTTGGTCTATATGTAAGCTGGGTTAGGGGGAAGAGCAAGGCTAGGCTAACTGACTGTATCCATTGGTGCAGGCATGAGCCAGAGTAGGTGTAGGCTGGCAAATGCTGGGCCTGGGGGCAAAACCTGTCACTAAACCACAGAACCACCTCAAGAGTGCAAAACCCAGGGATGGGAGTCCAGTAGGGAAACTGTGGGCACTTCTCTGATGGGCTGCAACTCCCACTGGTGAGCAAGAGAACCAGGACTGGGAATGGGTCTGGCTAGACAGGTGGTGACACCCACTGGCATGAGTGTGGGCTGGATTGTGGGGCTGTTAGGTTGAGCTACAGTAACCCACAGGTGTATATGATCGGCGAGTGTGTATGGCTGGGTTGGGCTGGGCCACAGCATCCATTGGTTTGCTTAAGAAATGGAATTGAAGACAGAACTAACCCAGCAATCACAACTGCCAGAATGTGCATAGACTGATGTGGGTCACAGACAGGCAGACCCCATACTGGCAGTCACACACAAGAATCAGGTCTGGGATCATCTCAGACAAGGTTTCTTTGGGGAACCCACCAACTGAATGGCTGGACTCAGAACTCCAACCATGAGGAGACTTGCAGAATCTGTGGTTTTACTGTGGAGCATGTGTGTCAGAACTGGGTCTCCTCAGTGGCTGAGAGGGAGCAGTGGATGGCATACCCATATGCATATGGAGGATATGGCAGCGCACTGGGGCTTGCAGAGGACATGTGGTACCAAAGCAGAGGAAGGAGGGCAGAACAAAATGGACAACTACCCCAGCCAAGCGTTGACAGCAAACGTCTGGGCAAATGGAGACTCTAAGGTGGACCATGACAGCCAATGGACCTTGAGAGGATTTCCTCTTCTTTGAATCAGTGAGAGCAACAGCATTTCGGAACTATCTAAATCATTTATGCAGAATCCTCGGAGCATGCTCCGCATCGGAGACCCTGCTCTGACACTCAATGTCCCTTCCCTGTCCCCGGCACTGCAGTGTTTGGGAGCTTGGGTGTTGCTTCTCCCCTTACTTCTCCAATTCCCACACATACAGGAGGAAGAAAAAGAGGAAGTGTAAACAATGGCCTCACTCACTTGCCCCAGTCCTCGACCCTTCCTACCCTGATCAACAAGGTAAACCTCATCAAAAATAAAATACAAAAAAAGTTTTAAATTTGAAAAAAGATTTAATGTATGAGGCAACTGGCGTTTTGAGATTTAATTACTGTTTATCGTCCTTATGTATACTCCTGAGGAACAGTGGTTCTTATACTTACTACTTGTTGGGTACTTTATTCACTGAAGAGCTAAGTTCACGATTACAGGTAGAACTGGGAGTATGACATTTTAAAAATGGAAAGAAAAGGGCCCGGTGCAGTATCCTGGCAGCTAAGGTCCTCACCTTGCACATGCCAGGATACCATATGGATGCCAGTTCTAATCCTGGCAGCTCCGCTTCCCATCCAGCTCCCTGCTTGTGGCCTGGGAAAGCAGTCGAGGACAGCCCAAAGCCTTGGGACCCTGCACCCCTGTGGAAGACTCAGAGGAGGCTCCGGGCTCCTGGCTCCAGACAGATGAAGTTCCGACCATTGTGGCTGCTTGAGGAGTGAATCAGCAGACAGAAGATCTTCTCTGTCTCTCCTATTCTCTGTATATCTGGTTTTTCAATATAAAATAAAATAAATATTTTTTTAATGGAGAGAAAAACAATATGGAGAAAAGCTGGAAGGAAGGTTGGCAGGTTATGATGCTGTCAAAACTATATATGAAATACATGAAATTTGTTCCCTTTTACAAATAAGTTTTAAAAACATTTCAGAAGATAATATAATTTATGGGTCCAGCACGACAGCATAATGGCTAAAGTCTTCACCTTGCATTCGCCGGGATCCCATATGGGCACTGGTTCATAGCCCGGCTGCTTCACTTCTTTCCAGCTCCCTGCTTGTATCCTGAGAAACCAGTCAAGGATGGGCCAAAGCCTTGGGACCCTGTATCCATGTGGGAGACCCAGAAGAAGTTCCTGGCTCCTAACTTCAAATTGGTTTAGTTCTGGCCACTGCAGTCACTTGGGGATTGAATCAATGGATGGCAGATATTTCTTTCTGAATTTCCTTCTTTCTGTACATCTGATTTTCCAATGAAAGAAAAAATTTTTTTAATCTTAAAAACAAACAAAAAGAAAGTTGGAA